TACATGAAGAACCTAAAAAATCATTAACTTAATTTTTTGGATTCAAATGATGCCCAAAATGTATGCAAAAGTCCTTTGATGCTCGTAATAAGCTTAAATTTGATTAATCAAATACGACGAGCTTAATAAGACAATATTTTTTAAACAAAAAGGTGGTGCACTAGTAGCTAAGGTGCATGGGTGGCTAATAATCAATGCTTAAGGTGGTCTGCATTTTAACATGGACACAACGAGACACTTTGTGGTTGAGTGCTAGCTTAAGGGTGCAATGGGGCAATTGGTAGGATACTCTAATTTTGAACAACTCGTACCAAAGTCCAATTATAAAATTATAATATTTATACTTTACTTAAACTTGATTAATAATACCTTATTAAAATATAAATTTCAATTTAGTTAAAATTAAATCAGACTCAAATGTATTTTATTAGTTAAAATTAAAGCAATGAATCCAAAGTAAAATTTATGTTTAGCCAATTTATAAATTTTAAAAATAATTTATTAATTATAAGAAATTCATATACACCCAAAAATAATATTAGAAAATTCATTTACAATTGAGCTCAAATAATAATAATTAATATTAAAGATATTACGGGCACTTTATCCAAATCCATTTATAAATTGGGTAAAATACCTTTACCTCTTAAGTTTTGATCAAAATTTTATGAAAGTTTATTATTTTTCGAAATGAACAGTCCAATCCCAAAAAATAGTTTTCGCTAGACAAGTAAGTTCAGCTTTTCCATCAACTTGCTAACATGGCAAGGATAAAAAAATAATTTTATTTTTAATTAATTTTTATAATTACTATTATATTTTTTTATTAATTAAAAAAGAACCATTATTTAGGGCTCCCTAAAGGAGCACCCGTGCTCCCCTTTCTAGTGAGTTGGGAAGCGCCAATTGGTGCTGTCGTATTTTTTTATTTTTATTATTTTTTAAAATATAATAATAATTTTTTAAATTAACAAAAAAAATATTTAAATACTTTCATAACTTCTATTAATAGTATTTATATTTTTAAAATAAAATATTTATTTTAAAAATTAATAAATTTTCATATAATTTCGATACGTAAAAGTAAAGATATTTTACTTTTTATAAATTTGATTTCAAACAAGTTAGATGGATTGTTGTTATCAAAGTCTCTTTCTTGAGACAATTGGCATTTAAAATGCTACCATCGAACATGACTTTCTTGTAGGACAATCTAAGGACGGGTAAATTGTAATGAACGGAAAGGGACAAACGGACTTAGAGGCATACCTAACTACGTGGGCGAATGAATAAAATTTATTGAAATAGGACGCGTAGACTTGGCGATACTAGGCACATTTTCAGTTGTGTCACGGCTCTAGATTTGACAAAAACTCCTCACGTGACAACTTGCACTTTCTTACATCAACAGTGCACCCACCATTTATCGCTGCACCGTCAAAATCTATTAGATTTTGATAAATTATTTTCTCAACATAAAACCTCATTATTTTCTTTTTTTTTCTATCAATTAAAATAAAGGAAGATGGACAAAGAAAGAAACAATAATTGAAAACAAAAAAAAAGAATGAAAACTAGAAAAAAATTTAAAATTCTTTTGAGCATAATAACTCAGCACAAAAAATAAAATCATAAGAATTTTAAAAAATATTATTTATATTATGTCAACAATAATATTAAAATAATATAAAATGACATCTACTATTTAATAAGATAGGTAAATACTATTATTTAATGATGTTGTATTTAATATCCTTTAAACAATATCATTAGTTATGTACATAAAGAACTATAATATAATTAATATATATTGTTAATTTTTGGTAGCTTCCAGATGCTTTTTTTTAATTTCGATTAATTTGTGAATATTTAATTTTTGATTGATTAAAAAAATTCGAATTCTAATATGCTGTGATTGTTAATTCTAAGTAATATTTAATAACTCGAATTAAGTTAAATATTTAATTCATTATGAGATGTTCTACTCCTATTCTATCTATTTTTCTCCTAATTATCTAATTGTACTAAATGCCTTAAATTTAAAAATTCAGCATAAAACTTATTCATTTTCAAACCCGAATATGTAAAAAAAATTTTGTTTACACAAATGAAATGTGTAAGTCAAATTATGCAATTAATTCTCATATTATATACAAAAATTTGAATTAATCTGCATATAATATTTTATGTAAATTGAATTCATGTACTTCTTTAACTTATTAATTCCAATCTTAACACCATTAAATTTTCTCCTTTCAAGTGTAAGAATTGGAAGTTTTGATTAAGTTAACACAACATTGGATTAAGATGATATGACATTTTTTTATATATACAACATTAATTATGTATTGATATGATATTCATCATGCTGATGTGGCATTAATTGGACGGATAACAATTTATGTCGACATGACACATACCAACGTAATGAGAAATATTGATGTAGCATTTGTTAACATGACTATTAATGGATAAATTTTAAAGAATAAAAGTATATTTAATTTAAGATCAAGTCAATGCAAATTAGTAGTAGTATTATTATTATTATTATTATTATTATTATTATTGATATCAATAATGAAAATATAATGAAAGCAATGAAACTTCAAAATAAATGACAAATATGAAATTTTTGTAATTTTTCAGAGTTTTCTATGTAATTTATTTTTTATTGATATAATTATTTAATTTCATTGATGTTATTGCATTACTAACTTAATATTTCTAGTAATCATCAAAATAAAATTGTAGTTAAAAAGAGATAAGATTAAAGAAACAATGGAAGAAAATATTGTACTTTTTATTAATATTTCTTGTTAAGATTAGAGATAACGTTTTGATAACTCTAAAACCAAATGCACTTATTCTCAAGGAATAAAAAAAAAAGTTATAAATTAAGTCCAAAGTTACTATTCTACTTTGGCTGATTGATTAAATTTACCACTTATTTTTGAATGGGTACAATTTTATCATTATATTTTTTTAATTTAGTTTAAAAAATCAAAATTAATATATTTTGTAAAATTTTTTATATTTTTTAACGAAATACTATTTTAGTGTTTATTTTTGACCATATTGCATTCCTAAATTCAAAACGGACTAGAATACGTGGGACATACTGAATTCCTACTACCAACTCCATATTTCAAATGCTCTGATGATGTGGTTTTTGCTAGAATTAAATTAAAATATTATATATATAATTATATGCATGTAAAAGATTTCTAGTCACTTAAGGAAAAAAGAAATTGTGGAAAAAAATATAGTTTATTGAAATTTAAAGAAAAATTCTTATGTAACCTTCCTAATCATTATATATATATATATATAAAGATTAATATAAATCATTGAAGCAAGGAGACAACAGTAATCTTATGTCTCAAACTCTATGTACGTTTATACCTAGTACATAATCAATGATTCAATCAAATCCCAAACGACTTCTTATTTAACTTGATTTGACATGGTGCCCCTTTTAAAATTAAGAAAAAAATAATAACAATAAGGCTTTTTAAATCTGGCTCACTTGCTCGAATTCATCATTTCATTTAAATTTAACTCTAATACGCATAAACAAAAATTAAAATATTTTTAACTTTTAAATTATAAGAAAACAAATTTATGGGTGGGTGTTTAGACTTATCCACAGGTCTTAGACAAGATTTGTAATAAATAATACGGTTTAATTACCCTTTTAATTAAAAATATATGTTTAATATAATGAACTTAATTTATGAGCAAGTCAATTACAACGGGATCCTCAAGTTTTAAAGTGTAGATCTCTGAGTGTCAAACTCAGTATGAATGCATTTATTGTTTTCTTCTCAATTATTTGTTTTTCTTTTACGAGGACAACGAAAATTTTAAAATTTAATTCTTTGAGTTGAAAATTCATCCGTTTAATATTCCATTGAATATTCCCAACGAAAGAAAAGAAAGACATTTTTTCCAAAGTATCTTCCCGGCTGCCTAGATAGGGACAAAACCATGAGAGTCGGGTACGACGTAGGCCAAAGTCAGCAGATAATTTTTTTAGGAACTGAGAAGCGTATCAAACTGTCTGACAAAGAAAACCTGAAGCAAATAAAAACAAATATATATATAATGTATAAAAACATATAAATAAATTTTTATATTTTTATTTTAAATTAAATAATTTATTTTAAATTAAATAATTTTATTAAAATATTATTTTATATAATATATTAATATATTATAATTAATAATAACTTAATATGATAATTTGATATAATAATATGACCAAATGATAATTTTTATTTTTTAAAATTAATGATATATTAATAGTATGTGAATATAAAATAATAATAAAATGATATAATTATAAAAATTTATTTAATTTAAAATAAAAGAATAAAAATTTATTTAAAGATTTTATATAATTTAAAGATTTAATTTAAACAATATGTCAATAAAAAAGATAAAATATATTAATAATTTTAATTTTTAATTATAATTATATGTAAATTTATTAATTTTTTATGTACATATTTCTTTTCAAATATATAAATAACGTTAATATTAAATATAAAATATTTAAAATAATTTTTTTATTTTTTTTTTCTCTTTGGTTGATAATGTTTTTTAACATCGGTTGTCCACCCATCTCTGTGAGCTCCCTTAAGATATACCTTGGAAGCACAAGATTGGTGCTCTTTTGGAAACCTCGATCAAACTCCCTAAGAGAGCACTGATGCTCCCTTCACAAATCGAGCTCTCCTATATCTCCAAGGGAGCGCCAGAACTAAAAAGTGCCATCCGCAGTTAAAAATTAGAAAAAATTAAAAAAGATATTTAAATATAAATATTATAATTTATATAATAATAAATATTATTAAAATTAATAAAAATTTCAACTACTTCGGTGATAATATTTTTTTTGAATCAGCGACAAGTGTAATTATGGTAAAAAACGGAGAAATTCTGTATTTTAAAAAATAAAAAACACCTTTTGTGTTGCCTATAAGAAAGTGGCCAGGCTACTGTTGTTGCTGCCCATTGCTCAGCTCCAAAATCATTCTCTTTCTGGTCCTGATTCTTCCCACCGATCCATTTCTCACATTGTTTTTAGGCTAAATCTCTCTCAAAACCACCCTTTTTTCTCCCTTTCTGTTATCACCTGGATTTTTCTTTATTGGGCAGTCTTTTCTATTATGAAATCACCTTTTTATTTATTTTCTCTTCGATTGATTGACTGAAGAAAGAAACGTTTTGGGGCTTCAACACCTCCATGGATGCTCTGATTCTAGCGTCCTCTACTGGGGGACTTTCTTTGTTCGCCTCTGGTGTGTTTTTCTTTTTCTTTGCTTTATTATTATTATTATTATGTGAAGTCAAATCTTTCATTTCGTTCTTCTTCTTCTTCTTCTTCTTCTGTCTATTGTTGCTTTGGGCTAATTTATGATATTTTGTATTTTTCTTGTTTGATGCATGTGATGAACAAAAATTAGGAAGGAGTAGCTGGAGGAGTAATGATTTGAAGGCTGTACATTCTCCAAGTACGATTACTAGTTCTCCCTTCTGGGTTTGTTGTTATAGTCATTTCTATTTGAAAAAAATGAGAAAGTGTTTGAATAGCTGTGATATTTAAGATTTATATTCCTGGAAAAAATTTGTTTGTTTGTATTTTTTTTAAAAATACAAAGCACCATGTAAGGGCTTTGAATTCTCAAAGTTGTAAGCACCATGTGATGCACAAGTTGGTAATTAATGTTTACATGAACTACTTTCAACTAATTCTTCAACTAATGGCTTTTGCTGTGGTGACTCACATCCGCCTGAGCAGTGTAAAGTGTTGGGATGGAGAGGGGAGAGTTGTGACAGATTTCAATACATTTGATAGTTTAGGCTTCCCTTTGATGTTTGTTACTAGTATACTATTATTTCTTTTAAAAGTTGCTAAAATGCAAAAGCAAACAGTAAAGTGTAAATTGTTTTTTGCTAGAATTAAGCAAATAATTGTTTCATATAATAGTTAAATAACATATTATGCTATTAAAATAAGTCAACTTTTTTTTAATAAAAAAATATATTCTTTAAAAAAATTATTTTCTTTTGTATCTACATTTGCTTTTTACTTCACGAGTAAAAAAGTAAGCATGAAGATTAAAAAACCAGTTGTACCTTTATTTACTATGTTCTCTTTTCTTGGTGGATACCTAATGATCATGGCTTTTACAATGTATTAGGTGAAGTTAGTGAAGTTCCTACTTAGATTTATTAAACAAAAACTATAATTGAAACTAAACTCTATTGATTGAGGATGGATAGATCTCACTGTATATATTTACCAAAAAGAAAGTTTAATATTTTAGCTGGAGATTGGTATAAGTAATCTGTTATTCAATTGAATAAATTTTGTATATAAGTACCATATTTAGTCAATTATTTGCATGTTATTGATCTAATGTAGAATATCTATCAATCCATAGGTTATGGCCTTTTATTTTAGTTTATGTTGGATAAGGCTCTGTTTGAAACTTCATCAACTTTGTGCTTTACTTTGGCGTATATTTCATTTTGTTTAAATTTTTTGCTCCAAACTTTTCTTTTCTTTACAACTGATTTAAATGGATGGCATTTCATGTTATTCCAGTCATCGGGCCTATAGGTTCTTCAATAGGAGTGCAAGTGCCGGCATGCAGTTCAGATAACGCCGTAGGAAAGTTTTATACTCTAAAGTTTCGCCGGCATGTTATCAAGCATTATGGTAGAGGTATCCAGGATACACCTACAGCCTTCCAGAAAAGTAATACAAAGTTTCTGCCGAATGCCACCTCTGATCACCCACTTGAATCAGAGCCAGCAGCTTATCCCAAGAATACTTGGAACTCTGTAAAAAATGCATTGGATGCTTTTTACAGGTTTTCACGGCCTCACACAATTATAGGCACAGTTAAGTTTTCAGTGTGATTTTACAAATTACATAGAAGTTATATGTGGATGCAAACCTTTCAGGATTCCACATTTTATAAATAGTAAATTTCAATTTGCATTGGTTATTTTTGCTTTTATCTTTCACAGCTCATTTCCCTTCTCTCAGCAGGCACTCAGCATTGTTTCAGTTTCTCTCCTTGCCATTGAGAAGGTGTCGGATGTTTCTTCCCTGTTCTTTACTGGGGTGTTGGAGGTGACCAAATGGACTATCTTGATAATTTAATCAGATTATTAGTAAATTAATAATTATAATCCTTACACATCTATTATTTTGTTTTTCAGGCTGTGGTTGCTGCACTTATGATGAATATTTATATTGTTGGTTTAAATCAGTTGTCCGACATTGAGATAGACAAGGTACTTGATGTAAAGATACAATTGTTAGAAGTTTATTTAATTAGTTAAATATGAATGAATCTGCACTATATCTTACTGTCTAGATGCCCTCATTATTCATTGCTTTTTCTTATATCCTTGTTTGTGTTTGGTTCTATGTAAAATTTTTTGCCAAGGTGGGATCCTGTAGTTTTGCAACTCCTTTTTAATTGGGTCATGCAGTAACTCTTTTTCTTCTTCTTTCTTTTTTAAACAAGAGATTTAAGTACTTAATTTACTTGGTGCATGATCCTAGAAATTAGTAGATGGATAAATTCATAAATTGTCTAATCATAGAAATGTTATATTGCAGGTTAACAAGCCTTATCTTCCATTGGCATCAGGGGAATATTCTATTTTTACTGGCATCATAATTGTCACATCCTTTTCCGTTATGGTATCCACAATCTTTTCTTTGCAAATGTTTTCATGTTCTATTCATTATCTTCTGTGGTAAATATATCTTTGCATCTGATGCACTTATGTAAGCTATAAAGCCATGAAACAAAAAATCATATCGTCCTTCATGGAAAGTAAAATGCTAGTTCTATACATTTTAAGACCATCAAAGATGGTAACAGCAGATATGAATAAGGTTTTGATGTGGAGAAGTCTAAGTACCTGCAGATTAGTGACTAGATGCTTTCCTGACTTTCGGTATAAGAATAAAAAAAGCTTCAGTAGCATAACAAATAGAAAACTTGAAAACAATGCCATTAAATATTCATAAAATCACTATGATTTACACTTATTCTTAATGAAAAAGGAGGTTTCTTGCCTGGTCACTATCTCTTTAAGTTAGCCTTTAAAGAGAGTAAATACTTGCCAGGCTGTGGCTTCAGCATCCCCAAGTCATCTTTTGGTTCCTGCAAATGTTGTTTCTAAATGGTGATCTTCATTTTGCTTTTCTTGATTTGCTGTTTTTCTTCATGTACTATAAATGGTTTCCCACCTCTCTTGAGTATATGTTATCATCGTTTTAAGCATACAACTACTATTCCTTTGGCCTGAAATCCTCTAGAAATAAAAGTGGATCAGTATATATAATCCCCTTTTGAATTGAATTGCTATGTTTGACTTGGTTTCAATTTTGGGAAAGACTTTTGACTTTAAGTTTTTTGTTTTAAAACATTTATCTTTTTTTTTTTTGTTAAATATTATGTTTGACTATTTTGAACATAAAGAAGTTGACAATGAATTAAATAAAAAATTGAATAAGGAGTATAAAGACTTTGGTCTTAAAAAGAAGAAAAGGGACATTATATTGAAACATCTCAAAGGGAAAAGGACATTTGATTTGGAAATGGAGGGTGTATTGACAAACTAGTACATCATACTTAGATGTACACTGTACTTCTACCAATAATACAACTTTTTAGTCATTTATTTTTAATGTTTAAGCATCCAAGACCTAAATGCTCATTATATCCTTCTTTTCTTTTTCAGAGCTTTTGGCTTGGATGGATTGTTGGTTCATGGCCATTATTTTGGGCTCTTTTAATCAGTTTTGTGCTTGGGACTGCATACTCAATCAATGTGAGTTGGTCTATGGGTTTATCCATCAAGTAGATACGTGAAGCATGAAGCATAAAAATACATGACATTTCATTTTAGTGTGTGTATAGTTTGTTCTTGCACCTCTTTGTTTGAAATTCTTTTGCAATTAATTGCGCCAAGGCTCACGATTGGTAGATAAGGCATACTTTTTCTATGAATAAAATGCTTTCTTATACAGTATTACATTTATGAGTACTGAGTAGTAATGGCAAAGGAATGGGTGGGGAGGGTTTTAGGCTGCCCTGCCCCCTAATTCTTTTGCCTTCCCCTACATGGTTGCATCCCTATGTGCCACCTGTACTCCTGTGCCAAAGAATTGACCCCATCCCAGTCCCTTCTCAGTTCCTCTGAACTAGAAGTGTAAGAAATACCTGCATCAAAAAAAGAAACAAGAATTAGTCCTCATAACAAAACTAATACAATGACAGTTCTAAGTCAATGGTTTGCAAAGAAAGGTTTATCAATTAAAAACCCATAACTGCTAAGATATATATATTAATGCTTTTGCAAGAAAATAAAAAATAATTTATCTTATTGTTTAAATCTCCTATCTTCAATACCTTGTAGTGACTTGCATTTATGCCTTGTCCAGCATATAAAGAGCCCTGCATTTATTAATTGTCCTTGGAAACATAAGGCTTTTCTTTGGAGAAGAAATGGAGCGAAGAGTTAGAAATGTAAATTAAAATAATTTATTTAAGGGTGGGTTAGAAGAGATAGGATAGGAAAGATTATAAATAATTTCTTTATTTGTCTAAACTCTCAACCTTATTTTTAATTTTTAATTTGTTGTTCAATAGCATGTAAAACTTGCTTCTTACTCATTTACACCATTTAGAACTGTGCTAAGTTATTGCACTTAGGCATATAAAGGTGTTGCTTTGAAGGAAAGATAGAAAAGTGAAGAGATATTAGGAAAATAGAATTATGAAAGGAAAGAAAAAAGATTTTTCCCTTTCCACTTCCTTGCTTGGTGGGGAGAATGAAAACTGGATCCATAGGAAAATATGTTGTCTTCCTTGCTTGTTTAAGAGAAACAAAGAGAGGAAAGAAAATCATTACATATTATCATTCTATTAAACTCTTTATAAGTGAAGATAGAAAAGGAAACTTAAAGGAGAGAAAGAGGGACAATTTAGTGAACTCATAACTTTTGACTACCATCCTTGTTTATTTTCTTACCTAGAATTTTCCAATTTGGTAATATTCGTATAATGGGTCAAAGAGAAAAGGTCCATCTCTCACTTATTTTTTTGCCTGCCACTCTTCCCTCTTACCAAGCATGAGTTAAAACATGTACTTACCCTTTTTCAAGTAATTCTTTCATTCTACCACTTATTTCCTACCAATTGTATATAATGATCTATGTATACATTAGATGTTTGAGCTTATTAGGCTAATGACGTGAGGTTTATGCATAAATCTACAACAGGCCATGAAAACAATGACTAAGTGCTTGTTTATTTCTTGGTGCCAATTCCAATATTGAGAATTATTACAATCAATATACTTGTACAGAGTTTTCTGACTTCATGGAATCTTTAGAACCTCCTAGTCTTCATCTCATTATCACAAATTCGGAAAATTATTCTGACGCTGACTTAAATGATATTTAACAGTGGTTTTCATAATGATATGGTGATGCTGTAAACTTTCTGTAATTTCAGCTGCCACTATTGAGATGGAAAAGGTTTGCGTTAGTTGCAGCCATGTGCATCCTAGCTGTTCGAGCAGTGATTGTTCAACTTGCTTTTTATTTGCACATACAGGTGCCTTTTTCTCTTCCTTTTTTGTTTCTTTTTCCCACTTTCCCAAAGAACTCAATAAAGTTTTTTTTATTTTCTCCAGTCTCTTGTTAGGTATGTGGCCTCTAGATTGAGACATGTGTTGATTTGAGACATAGCTACATCGAAAGTAATCTTTGTTAAAGTATATCTTAGTGTGGCATTGGTGCCATCAAGTCAGTGATGAAAACCCGTATTTGATGTGCACCTTGTCAATATTGTAAAATGAGTGAAAGGAATAGTTCCAATTTTGATGTTTGAGAACTCAAAAGGGGTCCTCAATATGTTTGAACTTGGTCTCTAAAGGGCATTCCAGCAGTTAAAACCTGAGACTTTACCTTGGGAATGGTGAAGTGGTCTTTGTAGGATGAGGGAGGTACCATCCTTTGTCTAATCAAGGCCCATGGGCCTATATATGTATATATACCAAAATGTACAAACTTGATACATATTTCAAGGTCGAAAAATTTTCTTACAAGCATGTTTACCACTCTATCTACTAGCAGAATTTATTTTGTTTATTTTTTACAATTGATGCTTTAGTTACATGGTCTGATCAATTTAAAAAGCTATAATATATTGTGTGATGTTCCCAGACCCATGTATTGAGCAGACCAGCTATCATTTCAAAGCCTCTAATTTTTGCTACTGCATTCATGAGCTTCTTCTCAGTTGTTATAGCATTATTTAAGGTAAGCGTTGCCCTCTATTTTAGTGAATTGCTGTATTTTTTCTTTTGCATTTTATGTTAGTCCACTAGTTCATTTAATTTTTCATGGTTAAAGTGGTAATTGCAATTCTAAGTTTGTAATTGATATCATGCAGGATATACCTGATATTGAAGGAGATAAGATATTTGGAATCAAATCTTATACAGTATGTCTAGGTCAAAAACGGGTGAGTTAAGCATACAAACAATTCATAAATGAGGGTTTTCTCATATGATTAAACTTTTTATTATCATTTTACTGTCTTAATTTACTTTTGCAGGTGTTTTGGACTTGTATTTCACTTCTTGAAATGGCTTATGGTGTTTCTATTTTGGTTGGAGCAACATCTTCCTATACCTGGAGCAAAGTCATCACTGTATGTATTCAAGATATCCATTACTCACTGAATGTGTTATGTTTTGTTTAAGAAACATACAGCAGTAAATGCTTCCCCCAGTGTGAAATATTGGGTGTTTCATATTATGATTTATATTTTAGATTCTCTTACTAGTGCATAGGCCCTGAGGCTGCCCTTTTTTTCCTCCTGAAAGAATATTAAAGAATCACATGAACTATAGTCATGTACCTTTTTTTTTTTTTTGGGTGCTAGGAAGAGAGTTAAATATCTATGCTTTCCACTCATCTGTTATTATGCGAAATCTCTGATTGGTCTCCCTTGAGGTTTTGTTAGATATCATTCATTTTCTGTCGAGATTTTGGTTCATCACTTTATCCTCGTTTTTCTTATATTATTGTTCGCTAAAGTTCTTGGGGCACGAAGCTCTTATTATTCTTCTTGTTATTTTAACTTTTACTGTCACTGATTAAGTGTTAAGGATTGATTGGTATTTTATCATAATGTTATGGGGCAAGAAAACTGACAAAAAATGTCAGGAGAGACCACTCTCTTATTCAGAATCTTTGATTTTTATTGTTGGTATATCTGTTACTTATTCATTGCAAACAATGGTGAAATTTTCTGGTAGATGCTATTTATGTCTAATTAATTAAACAAGTATGTGAGCAATGACTAATATACAGTCGATTCTCCTTGAATTGGATTAGGTTTTGGGTCATTCCATCTTGGCTTCAATTTTATGGATCCGTGCCAAATCTGTTGATCTGAAGAGCAAAGCTGCAATAACATCATGTTACATGTTTATTTGGAAGGTAATCATTAATCTTGGCTTATCAAATTGTTATGTTGCTACAAGATGATGCTGGCAACTCGACAATTACCAACTGCAATTCAGATAGGAATAATTGGAAAAAAAGGAAATAGAACAGAGTTGAGTTCACTTTATGGCCCATGAGAGGCATAAGATTTTAATGCTTTAATATTATATTTGGATGGCAATAATGACTAACCTTACCAAATAGGTGGTGTTGGATCCATATATCATGGAATATGAGGCTTCATTCTTTTGTCTGCTTGTCTGAGAAAAATATATAATCTTTCTTGATGTCAGTGTTTTAGTTGGTCTTAATAGGGAGCAAACTAGGATGCAATAAAATGCTAGGTATATTCTAGCATGGGTTTGTTGTAGCCTACTCCAACTTCACAACATGCCCCCAAATAAGCTTAAGCCTTATTGGAAATGACGTGGTAACTAACTCCACAAGCAGAGTACCTCTCCTCTGCACGGGCTTGGTGAAAATGACAAAGAGGAAGTGACTATTGCTCCTTAAGAATTTCACGAACCTTTTCCATTGCCAGCTCTACCAATTTTAGTGCCCTTTTGGTGTATAATTTATCATTTAGACGCTCAATTCTAGCTGAGGTTTTTCAATTTTCTCTTCTTCAAATCAAAATGTTGGAAACTTTTGTTGGTCATCTGCAATAACTGCTTGGTTTCTTCTTGCAGCTCTTTTATGCAGAGTACCTTCTCATACCACTTATAAGGTGAGAGGCCTAATTCATTCCAAAAGTAGAGAAACATAAGATGCCATCAAAATTCAAGAGCCGCTAATTTATTCTTTGAAGATAAAGAAATGCAAATCCAAGGAATGTTGTTGGCAGAATTGTGAGATTCTGGATGATCTGCACACCATTGTATAAATGTGATCTTATTTTGTAAGCAATAGTAGCATTGCTAAAATTCAATAATGGCCAGAAAAATGGCA